GGGGTTCTGGGGATGGGGAGGGGGCTGTGGGGATGCGGCTCCCCCGCGGCGCTGCCCGCGCTGCTCTCCGGACTCCCCTGCCCTCATTGCGATGGGCCCGGCCTGCCCAGCCTCCTAATCTGCGCTGAGTGGGACTGCCGATGAACGCCGCGATAAATTTAGAAAGAAATCTTTGTGTGGGTCAGAGGAAAAACACGGGGAAGCCGAGCTGGAGCGGCTCCCGTCCCCCGGGCTCGTCCCTGCAGATTTCTCACCGCTGCCGCTCTCGCCAGAGGAGCCACGGGGCTCAGAGGTGGGCCAGACTCTGCTGGACTTTGTGAGCCACAAAATAAAAGATTTTTAAGTGATTTGACCGGGGAGCAGAGGGAGGAGGCAGCGCTGCCCCGGCTCCGACATTTCCGAGCCTCTTAAAGAGCAACTTTGCCTTCCCCAGGATTTGTTTATAAACACGAGCAGGGAGAGCAGTTGTGCTTAATTCCTCTCTCAGGCTCTTGCCTGCGCTGCCTGCTCCTGCCCAATGGCTTTTGTTAATCTCTTAAATTGTTTTAAAACAACAACAACAAAATAATGGCATTAGCGGTGCAAAATCCCCCGTGAAATCACCAGCACAGCCCCGCACCCCTCTCTAAAATCAGAACATTTCAAACTATTTTAGCATTTGCTGGTAAATTATATTGTACCAGAGCGAGGAGAGGAAAAGAATTTTCTGAATGTATTTCCTTTAATAAGCTATTAAGACGTTGTACTGCTAATTAAACTATTAATTAGACGTCTTATCGTTCCTAAACACGTTAGCATGTTGCCAAAGCAGCAATAAACCTCTGGGGCAAGAAGGAGATAAGGAAAGAAGGAAGATGCAAACATGAAGATTAAAAAATATGAAGAAAAAAAAATTAAAGAAATAACAAATAAAAAATTAAGAGTCAGAAGGGTGATGTATTGGTTAATTTATAGGAATAAAAAAATAAATAACTTGAGAATGAATTTCCTGTGTGGGAGCCCTTGGGGCACCTGTGTCTTACACAGGACAAAAAGGGACAGGGACTTTTCAGATCTTCATTTTTCTGCAGCAGTGGGACCAGAAGTGGAACCCATCTTCCCCAAAACCAGGAATTAGGAAATTAAAAGAAAAAAAATCTGGGGTTTTTTTCTTCTGCATAGGAAAAACACCAGGAATTTTCAATAGGAAGATTTTAATTAAAGGAATTTCTGCATCTGACAGGCAGCACCCCAGGCTCGCCCAGCCTTGTTTTTCTGAAGTTAAGAAAGAAAATTCCCAGCCTTGCAGGACTTGGGGTGTTCCTCGCACGCTCTGAAGGTTTTTCCTCCTGTTCCTGTGGCTCCTTCAGGAATGAGGGGTTGGGAAACTCAGGGACAGCTCTGAACCACCCCGAGGTGCTGCTGCCACAGCCTTTGGGACCTTTGAGCCCCCCTGATCTCTGCCCATCTCAGGGTTTGCAGCACATTCCAGCGTTTTTGGACCCCAATTCCTCAGCTCAGTGGCTCTCAGGGGATGGATAATCTCATTTGTGTCTGTTCCTACAAATCAGCAGCAAATTAAACGGATCTGAAAGCCAAAATTAAAGGCTCCAAACACATGGGAAGTGCCTGTAATGCAAAGAGCTGTAAATATAATTTATTTTAGGGGGGTGGATGGGAAAGCCCTACACAGATGCTCTTACCTGGGAAGCAAAGACGGAATCATGGAAGTATTAAGGCTGGGAAAGACCTCTAAGATCAAGTCCACCACCATGGCTGGAAAAGGAGGAAAAAACCCAAAATGAGCTTGGTTGTGACCCTTTTGCAGCTCTGGAAATGCCTTTGTGGCCTTCTGATGGTGGCTGAGGTTTAGGCTGGCCCAAAGCTGCTGCTCTGGACACTGCTGGATCCCTGGCTGGGATTTCAGGGATGTCCCGGCCTCAGGACAAATTCTGGATTCCCTGGGTTGGATTTCAGGGATGAGGAAGTTCTCCAGCTTCACCAGGGCCTGAGGTGGGGCAGGGGATGTCACCAGAGCCCTCCTGGGCCACTCAATTCCCTGACTCAGCCCAAAACTCCTGTGTGGCCTTGCAGGGGATGGAGCAGCAGAAATGGGAGAATTCCCACAGGGGTTTTTGCAGGATCTGACACCGAGCAAGCAGAAGAAGGGAAAAAAACACAAAAAGAAAGAAAAAGGAAAGAAAGTGATGTGAAATCCAGGTTAGAAATGCCATTGTGGGTGTTCCCCGTGCCTGGAACACGAGCTGTCACTCTGTTACCCCTGGCATATCCCTGCCACAGCTCTCTTATTCCCTGTGATTCCATAATTCCATGGTTTCACTGATCCGGGGCTGGAATTCAGCACCGCTGCCCGGGGCTGGAGCTGTTTTTGGGAGCAGCTCTGCCAGGGCTCCATTCCCGAGTCCCAGCCGCCCTCTGGAGCCTGGGAGGGAGCTCTGGCAGAGCTCAGCCGGCAGGCAGCAGCATTGCAGCACGAATAAATAATCCTGCGCCTGGTCCTGCAACTAATGCTGCAATAATGCTGAAATAATGCTGAAATAATGCTGAAATAATGCTGAAATAATCCTGCACCTGGTCCTGCAACTAATGCTGAAATAATGTTGCAAATAATGCTGGAATAATGCTGAAATAATGCTAAAATAATGCTGAAATAATGCTGCAACTAATGCTGCAATAATGCTGCAACTAATGCTGCAACTAATACTGCAAATAATGCCACAATAATGCTGCAATAATGCTGAAATAATATTGAAATAATTCTGAAATAATGCTGCAAATAATGCTGCAAATAATGCAATAATGCTGAAATAATGGTGCAACTAATGCTCAAATAATGCTCAAATGATCCTGCAACAAATGCTACAAATAATGCCGCAATAATGCTGAAATAATGCTTCAATAATGCTGGAATAATACTGCAGATAATGCTGGAATAATGCTGTAGATAACGCTGCAATAACGCTGCAATAATGCAGGAATAATGCAGGAATAATGCAGGAATAATTCTGGAATAATGCTGCAATAATGCTGCAGATAATGCTGCAATAATGCTGCAATAATAATGCAGATAATGCTGCAATAACGCTGCAATAATAATGCAGATAATGCTGCAATAATGCTGCAATAATGCTGCAATAATGCTGCAGATAATGCTGCAGTAATGCTGCAATAATGCTGCTGCCCCTCAGCATCCTCCCCTGGGCAGAGCGGGCTCTGGCCTCGCTGTGCTCTGCTCGGTTCCCCTGGGCTGTCCCCAAACGCAGGAGCAGGAGCTGGGGAGGGTCCCTGGGCAGAGCCAGACATCCCTGAGAGGAGAGAAAATCAGGAGAGATCCCCGTTCCCAGAGCTCCTGCCTTCAGCACAGCTCCACTGGAGCCCTGAAGGCCTCCCACGCGTCCCCCTGGGAATTTTCGGGGCAGGGAACGTTGCTGGTTATTTCAGAGTGCCCAGAGCGAGGGAACCCTCACACAATCCCGGGATTTAGGCTGGAAAATCCCTCTGGGATCAGTGAACCCAATGCCCACCCTGAGCCCTGGGTGCCACCTCCAGGGACGGGGGCTCCAAACCTCCCTGGGCACTTCCAAGCCCTTTCCATGAGGAAATTCCCGCTGCTGCCCAAGCTGAGCTCCAGCTCAGGCCAAGCCCAGCCCTGCACATCACTCTGGAATCTCATCCATTTTTCCAGGAACTAATTGGGTGTCTTAAACATCAAAAAAACCAACAAATCAAACAAACGAGGTGTGTCTGCACATCACTCATCCTGCAGAGGTTTTTTTGGGAGAGGAATGTGCTCAGAGCCTTTATTCATGGGATTTCTGCTGGGAAAGAACCTCTCTGTGAGGTGTTGTCCTCCCATCCTGCTGGCAGCAGCCAGAGCCTCGCATCCCACGGGGATAAACACGCTGGACACGGTGGAGAAGCCGCTTTTAGTGCTTCATTATTTTTCTTTTTCGACCGGGATTATTTACAATGAGATCTGGGAGAAGCAATTCACACCAAAGCAAACAGCCTGGAATATTTTAATTGTGTTGAAGTGACTCTTGCACCCACAAATAAAACCAGCCCCAGGTGGTGATGGATGCTGCTGTCATTGCTTTGAGCACTGTACCAGAAAAAAAATCCCTTCTCCTCAGGTGTTCAGCACTGAGAGAAATTTGGGATGAATTCACTTGTGAGAGGGTAGATCAGCTTCAAGGGCCGTTTTTGGGCTTCTTTGGGGTGTGGAGGTGGCTGCTGGTGCTTGTGTTGAACCACAGCTCCTCCTGTCTGGCACAATCAGGGCTTTGGCTCCCTAAAAATGTGTTTGGGATGGGGAACAAACCTGCCCTGGGTCCCCCCGAGCTCCAGCAGCGCCTCCCTGGAGTGGGATCAGCACGGAGAGGGGCCAGACCTGCTCCTGCTGCTGGGATTTGGTTCTTCCCAAAGTGAAAATCCTGCTCTTTGCTCCTGGCCCAGAGAGAGGAATTCCCACTGCAGAGCTGGGGTTTTGTCTCCCTCTCATCCCTCCAGGAGCCCTTCGGCACCTCCCATCCCCAAATTCCTGCCCCAGACACCCACAGAGCCCAACCTCGCCTTCTCCATCTCACCCAAGGGATAAACTGCTGCCTCTGCCTGCCACAACCCCCAGCCCTGGCAGGAGGAGGCTGTGGCAGGACTCAGAGAAAAAGAAGTTGATATTTCAGCCTTGAATTCCACGTGGAAAGTTTTACAGAGCTTCAGCAAATTCTGCTGGAGTAGGAAACAGCAGAGGAGCCCTAAAGCACAGGAAGGGGTTAAATGCCTGATGGTGTCAGAAGAGGAAGAAAACCTGCACTTAAACATAAAGATGAGATTATAAACAACTCTGTTAACCAAAACTATCTGAAACCTGAGAGGTTTTTGTCACTGCAGTCCCAATTTAACTACTTTAGTCAGCCTAACATATTGCTACCAGAAATCCGGGCTGCTGGAGCCCAGCTCTGCCTCTGCTTTAAAGCTGTGGAGGGGCTGAGGGCCCTGGGATGTGTCCTGATGTTCTTCTAACAACAAAAACACAGAACAGCTGCAGAGAGGAGTCCTGTGTGCTCAGCAGGAGGAGGAGGAGGCGGCAGAGGAGCCGCTCTTGGGCAGCTCAGCGTGCTTCAGGCTGGTTTTGAAGTTCTCCACAGAGGCAATAATAAAGGTACAGAAGGTCTGCAATTCCCTGTGTGTGCAGAGAAATCTCCTGCCCTGCCCTGGGGGCTGCTGCTCACATCTGGGTGTCGGCAGGGCTCTGCTGCCGGCCCGAGCGGCCGCTCCTGGAGGACGCCTGGCCCGTCCCGTTCTCCTGGGTGCCCCCGTTGAGGTTTGGGAGGTTTGGCTTCTCCTGCAGCTCCGCTGGCTCCTGGGATGGGCTCATCAGCATGCTGTTCCCCTGGCTCTCCGTGTAGTAGGGGTCTTCAGCCTGGCAGGGACACAAGGGACACGGTCAGGGAAGGGTGAGGGGTCCTGGCAGGGAGGACAAACAGCCCCAGGTCAGGGCACTGCTCTCGCTGACGAGGAGGGGAGCGGAGGGTCTGAACCAACGAGCAGCGAGAAAATCACCCAGAACTGCAGCCGTTCCTCCAGCACCTGCCAGAGAAGCTGTTGGGGTTTGTTGTTTTCTCCCAAGCAGGTTTTGGAGCTGGCCTTGCCTTGGGACAGAACCTCTTTGGCCAAGGCAGAACCACCACGGGATGGAAATGGTGGAAATTGTCTCTTTTGCTTCCCTTGGCCTTCCTGTGGAGCTGTGGCAGAGCTGCACCTCTGCAGGGCTGGGCACTGCCTGTGAGGAGCATCCAGAGCTGCCCCCATCCCCTCACAAGAGTTCCCCAGATGTTGTGCAGCCCTGGGATTGGCAGTGGTGGCAATTCCCAGCTGGAATTCCCTCAGCAGCACCCAGCACTCCCCTGGCTGGAGCTCACTCAGTCTCCTTTCCATGGGTGGGCTGGAATCCTCAGCTGGGGTTGGGATTGGCACTGCCAGGGGTTTCCAGGGAAACTGAGGCAGCGTGACACAGACATTTCCCAGCTCTGTGCTCTGGGCACATCCTCAAATGTCCCTGGGGGCTCCCAGGCTGCTCTCGCTGGGCAGTGATGGGGAATCATCGCTTTACACAGGGTCACATCCCCCAAAAGTCACCAAAAGGTGGGGAGGAGTCCTCAGGGTCAGCCTGCCTGGAGAAGGGAGAGTGAAAATAGGAAATTTCTGCCTCTTTCTTTCTTTCTTGATACGTTTTATTGCCATGGCTGGTGGGGGGAAATTGCCTTTATTACAGCACGGGTACAGACATGGGACTCACACAAAGGAATGGAAATTAAAGGGCGTCACTTTTAATGACACATTCAAAAGGTTTCAGTGGCTCTGGAGGGCTCTCGCTGGATCAGTTCTTGATCAAAAAAAAAACTACATTTTTTTTTGATCACAAAAAAAAATTGAACAAAAAACCCCATATTTTGCTGAGCAAAAATAAGCGTTAGAGCTGGAATTGGGTGCGGGAAAGGGGTGGTGCTGCTGCTGCAGGAGCTGATTTTGGAAGAGGAGAAAGGCTCCCCTTCCCCCTGTGCAGTGAGCACAGAGCACAGGGGTGTCCATCCCCCTGTTCTCCCCCCTGGGCTCCTCTC